CTCATGTTGATTCAATTTTGTGCAGTCCATATATTTTGTTTTGCTTTCATTTATATATAGACCAAACGTAGCAGCTTCTCGTTTTAGTTCTATAACTTTTTCGCTTAATACCCTTTTTTTGCGGCGCGTATTATGGCAACATCCTTCGCATATGCGCATATTTGCATTGATCTTGTATTAATTTAGCCGTTTATATCCAGTTATATCTATCAAAGTGTAGCGTTATATCTCCATCTATTCTCACCATAGCTTTGGAACCTTCCAGAGTCATTCGTATAAGTTTAACCAACTTTTTGGGTATCCCTAACATAGATAGTTACTTAAACTTCTTTTATCGTTCTCCTCCATCAAACGCCTGTTTGAAATCGATATTCTTCTTCCCATGCCGTCCCCATTAACGAAGGTTGGCGACCACATTTTTAAAAGCTTATCTGTCTTTTGCAACGTCGAATAATTCGTTCTACAGTCATGTTTGTCCAGTCTCGAATATTTCGCAGCCATGACTTCCTCTTTCTACCTATTCCCTTTTTGCCATCGACTTCTACCTGCATGATGACCTGCAGAAGGACTATATTTATTATTTCTTAGTATGTGTCCAAGGTATGCAGTCTTGCGTACTTTTATCGTTCTCAACAATTTTTTGACTCGACCCATTCTTCTCAGCACTTCCTCATTGGTGGACCCTGGCAGTCCATGGGATTCTCAACATTCTCCGGTATATCCAAAGTTCAAAGGCTTCAATCTTTTTAACTATTTGCGCTTTTAGTGTCCATGTTTCTACCCCGTACATTAATTGCGACCAGACGTAACATTCAACAAACCTCAGTCTCAGCGCAATATTCAGATTTTTGTCAAAGAACAATTGTTTGAATTTTAAGAATGCTGCCCTTGCCATTTCTATTCGTACCCGGATCTCTTGGTCTGGATCTAATTCTGTGTTGATGTAAGCTCCCAGATATTTATATTTTGTCACTCTCTCTATTTGCTGTCCACCAAGAGTTAGTTTTTCATTATTTATTGGACTCCTTGATACTATCATAAATTTGGTCTTATCTGTGTTGATGTCAAGTCCCATTTGAATGCATTCACTATTTATTGCATCTAGTAAATCTCATGGTGTTTAGGATTTCACCACCAATTCTTATTCCCTCTTTTCTTTCCCATAAGGCTTTTCTGAATATGACCTGTGAGTACACGTTGAAAAGCGTCGGAGACAAGACGCATCCTTGCCTAACCCCTCTCGCAATCGATATACAAGTTATAAATAGGTATGTTATATTCAACATATTTTTCATGTATAATTCTTAACATACGTATTTTGTCTATAGTTGACCTCTTTGGTCTGAATCCACATTGGTATTCACCAATCATCTCCACCGAAAACGATTCCAGGCGGCTGTATATAATTCCTGATAATATCTTGTAGACGACATTTAAAACTGTGTTGCCCTTACAATTTTTGCAGAGTCGATTTGTCTTCCCCTTTGTACATGGGAAATATGATTTCTACTTTCCAATCTTCTGGGATGACTATGTTAATATTACTAAAATTGATTGTAACGAAAATTATATTTTATATTTATTTTGACATTTCGATTTCAAATCTGCAAATTTGTTTCGGAGCTGTAAATGTTTATAAATTGGCCAAACTTATTAGTATTATGGCAAATTTATTTGACTTAATTTTGGTGTTGACAACTTGTACAAGACACTAATATTCAGTTGTTTGCAGGTAGTGTAGGTCCAGTATCCATCGCTGTCGATGCTGATTTATGGCAATTCTATGGTGGTGGAGTTTTCAACAACAAAAACTGTGGAACCGCCCTCAACCACGGTGTTCTTGCTGTTGGATACACTAAAGATCTATTCATCGTTAAGAACTCATGGGGATCTAGCTGGGGTGAACAAGGTTACATCAGAATTGCCCGTGGTCACAACTTATGCGGTCTTAACCTCATGAACTCTTACCCCAAATTGTAAATGACCATGAAAAAATGTCATTCTTAATAATAGATAATACAGATAAATGAAAAAAAATTGTTTGGTTTTATTTGAGCTGTAAACAGTTGTGGAAGTTACTTAGTAATGTTATTCCTCTTTTATTTTTAGATATTTATAAAATAGACAGATCCCAGATATTCAAACATGCCTGGGATAATAAGCACAGAGCGCAATGTAACGATGCAATAGTAGTTATGTAAAAACGAGACAGAAAAAAAAAATAATCAGTCCTCATCTTACTAAATGAAGAAAAATATATAGCAAAGTCAGTAGAATTAGCAGGCTATGGTTACCAATACTGAAAGAAGAAGTCAACAATAAGAATGTACCAATATTAACCAGTTAATGGCAGATCAAAGACATTTATAATTACCTATAATATAGGCACCACTTTACTCTGGCAGTACAAGAAAACCTTTCAGAATTTCACTTCAAAATATGATCGATGCCGAGTTCTTCTGCTGTTTTCCCGTTTTTAAGTTTGCAAATTTTTTCTTTTACTTCTATATAGGTCAATTCTTCTTCATCGTGTTTTGTGTTCGTTATTGTTTCTCCTTCTTGTTTCCTATCCGTTTCTAAATATATTTCTTTGTAATACTTCTGCAACTTTTAAGTCTTGGTACAATGGTATACTTCTACTTTCTTTTTTATTTTTCTGCGATTTAAACAATTTCGTTGTCTTTTTACTAAGATCGTTTTTTTGCTTTGTATTTTTCTCGATACTTTCTTTGCTTGTGCTTAACCATTTCAATATTATTTTATTATTTACTTCCATTGCTAGTTTCACTCATTGTCTTGAATTTTGCCAACCACTTTTTCTGCTGCCTTGTTTATTCCTTGTTTGATTTTTTCTACTGTTTATCCATTTGTTGTTCCTTGAACTACATCTTCTAAAACGTGTGATTTAGAAGATACGTCAGAGTGCATTTCCATTCTTAGAAGTCGTGCCCTTGGGCGCGTCCATAATGCTTTCCCTATCAAGTAAAACTACCCTCAACCACACACGCACGACTAGTCCTGTTTAGACCTTCCCAGCATGCATGGCTTCCTTATATTCTGTTTTTTCCTTTATCGTTTAAATTTGCTGTCGTTTCCGTTCTACGATCTCTTTCCTTTTTAGTTTTTTAGTTATTGTCCCCGGGATTTCTTTGTATGCATTGTCTTCTCTTCCCTTCACTTCCACTATGTTATTCACCTTAACTTCTTCCAACCTTTCGGATAGTTTCGTCCTCCCGTTCGTAAACCTTTTGCAATCGAACACATTGTGCCGTTTAAACCCGTAGTCAACGCAATTACGGTTTCTTCTTACCAAATAGGCTCTGAAAGAGACGTGTTCCGTAGGGAAGTGTGTAAAAAATTAGTTAGTCAAGCTATGACCATGTTCTATTTAGTCTGTTACGTTCGGTATGAGTGTTCTTGTCTATTTAGGCCCATGTTCGTTTTCCCGCTCTTTTGCCATTTCAAGTTGATCACTCCTCTCTCGTCTGCTTTGTTGTTTTTATTCATGTCGTACATGATTGCTCTTTCTTTCACTAGTAGATGGATTAGTAGCTACCCTGCTATAACTTGTAAGGCAAATGTCGAAGTCGTCTTATATGCACAAAGACCCTCAGCAGTGCCTTCCTCTGAGCTTTTCCAGAATTTTCTGTATTTTTCGATCTTGTTAGCGCTTCTGTTCTTTCATTGGCTTTTTTGGCAGCACATATTATTTTTTATTACTACCATAAAGGGAAAAACAGAAAAATAAAACAAATTTAAATACTCAATGAAACTCACACGGCTCAAATATTTTATAATTAAACGAAGATTACTTGGTTTTGTTCGCACATATTTCACTAAAAAATAGAATTAGATAAGTGAGTTCAAGGGTTAATACTCATCATTGAATGATATTATCACAAAATAATTCTTTAAAACGCATTTCTATATACATTGTATGCAAAATTTTTGCTTTCGTTTGAAATTCCTTCGCACTTATCTAGTTTCAAGAGTATCAAGATTAAAATTTTAGTATAAAAGTTGTATCCTTTTTCAGTATCATTAAGTTGTATTCTGTTGTTCTTTGAAAAGGTAAGATATTTTACACATTCTTCTATTTCAATTGGTTGGCTTTTTATTATATAATTGTTTTTCTATATTTACATTTTTTTTAATTTACCTTTATTAAATGATATTTACTCAGTAATGTAACTCAAGACATTACTGCTTTAATTAAAATTCTTTATTTGTATGTTTACTATTCTTGAAATTCTTTTTTATTTCTTATGTGGTGCAAAATTCTTTCAAATACTTAACATGCATTTCTGTTAATCAATAACTGTTGCAGTTTTTCGCACCAACTTAGCTTTTATCTACTATATGGAGTAAAAGTATTCTATTATGTATCAAATGCCAAAAATATGAGATACATATATTTCTTTACAGCTTTTTTATAGCACTAACGGTATAACAATTTCGAAAGTTTTAAAGAATTAAAGTATCTAGACCCCACTATAACTTACAACAACGACATGAACAGCGTAATATAAGCACGATTACAAGACAATCTAAAGTATAAGATACTATTGAGGTCAGTGAATGTTTAAAAATACATAATAGCGATTAGACCAGTCATTTAGCAGTCAGAAACTTGGACTATAACAAACCTAACTATTGCTAAGGCATTTTAAATACAAAATACTATGAAAAACGCAGTTGAGTATGACACTATAGTTAAACAATGAATAAACGTTCTATGACCAATAAACAAAATCAACGAGACAAAAGCCCAGACAGTGGTGTGGACAGGTCCTGTGCATAGAGTCAATAAAAAACGGCTCATCAAACAGATACGAAAGCAAACTTGATTTGCAGTAGACCTGTAGGTATCTAATTGGAAAAAAAGGGTCTAAAACCTTTTATTACCAACCAAACCAAATACCAAATGGCAGACATAAACTCAGATGCTATGATATTCTAAAAGATTTGCATTGGTACGAATATACAACTGACCAGAAGATATGGTTCAGCAAAGTAGGTGGAAGTAAGTCGTACAGGCAGCAAAGACCCACAAGGGATTATTAAGATATTGAGACAGAAAGAGATAGAGAAAGAACAATGGTATAATTACGACATTCATGGAATGGTCAACAAAACTAACTTTCAAACAACATCTTTCTTACATCCATATGTGTATTAAAATATCAAACGATCAGATTTTGAATTTTATTTTATTTTTCATTTATTTATTATTATTATTTCAAATTGTGTTTTCAGAAAAATCAGAATGAAGCTGTTCATCCTTGCTGCTGCCCTTATTGTGGCCACTAGCGCTAACCTATCCGCCTTCGAAAAATGGACCAGTTTCAAGGTATTAATTTTAGTAATATTTTCGTGATATTATATGATAAAGTCAAAATTTCTAATACAACTTTATTTATGCACCAGGACAAGATTTGACAAACAAATCAAAGTAAAATTCGAAAATAAATATTGCATAACTACCACTTCAAATAACCATAAAGGGATTACCCAAAAAACAGCAATCATTTTTATATTTATTACAAAATTCTACTTGTACAAAAATTTATTTTTAAAATTTTTAATATTTGCCCTGCACTGGAACCAAACATGGAAAAATATCTAGAATCCTGCCTACCTTCTTTTCTTTCTGGTTTCCTTCTTTGAGTCTTACTAAAATAATTTCCACACTACACGATGTTTTCTTGACAATTTTAGCAATTCCATTCTGTTTCCTGCAAAATTTTATTCTAATATGTTCTTGGTCTTCAATTATTGTCTATTGATTACTTCTCTTATATTGTCTTTTACTACTATTTATTCAAATCACTTGTTTTGGCCCTAATGTTATTCACAGTGTTCTATTTTAGATTTTTCTTTTTTTTTTATTTAGAAACATATCCAAATCCACATCAATCACGGAGGATATTATTTTTCTTTAATATTAGCGCTTGATACAATAAGTTGGCACTTTTTTAACGTCTACAATTATTATAAAGGTATTCATCAGTTACGATATTTTTAAAACTGTTGTTAATGGATTGGTAAATTCCTTGTTCCACGATTTAGCAATCATCATCATCATTGGGTCCACAACCATGGTGGATCTTGGCCTGCTCAGGATAAGTCCCATTTTTCTATTCTTCGCTTGCTTCCAGTTTCATACTCCTAACAATATCAAGTCTTCCTCCACCTGATTCTTAAATCGTGCTCTGGGTCTACCTCTCCTTCTCACTCCATCTATTCTTTGGTTATAAATATATTTTGGCGGCTCCATCTCATTCATTCTCTCTATGTTACCTAACCACCGCAACCCGTTTATTTTGATGGACCTAATAATATCAGGTTTGTCATACAGGCGGTAAAGTTCGAAATTATAACGTCTACGCCATATTCCGCCTTCCTGTACTCCTTCATTGATATGCCGGAGGATATTGAAGGTCGCTCTCACCAATTTTACTAGTGTACTGGGATGCTGAATTCTATCGATTTAGCAATACAGTTATTAAAACATGGGTTGATTTATTTTCCTTCTTAAACACACTTCATGAGATCTTAAAGTGACCACATAGCTTCTTTGTTCATATCATTTAAAATTTTTGCATTTTACATAATAAATTTAGGAACTTTCTTAGCATTTTTATTGGTAATATTCTGTATATTTTTAACCTTTTACCATTTTCGCTATTTTTTCTTGACACAACACTCTAGTTTCTTAGTGGTAAAATGTTACTAAGTCTTTATTTTTTTTCTATATTATTTATTATATTTTTATTTAAGGCAACCCATAACAAATCTTACAACGTTATTGAGGACAAACTTCGTTTCGCCGTTTTCCAAGAGAACCTCAAGAAAATCGACGAACACAATGCCAAATACGAATCTGGAGAAGAAACCTACTACTTGGCTGTCAACAAATTTGCCGATTGGTCCAGCGCTGAATTCCAAGCTATGTTAGACTCTCAAATGGCTAACAAACCCAAACAAACCTTCATTGGCAAACACGAAGTTGATCCCAATTTCCAAGCCGCCGAAGAAGTCGATTGGAGACAAAACGCCGTTTTGGGAGTCAAAGATCAAGGAAACTGTGGATCATGCTGGGCATTCAGTACCGTAAGTATTAATAATAAAATAAAATCTACTTTTAAGAATAGTATTATGCGAATTAAAAGAAATATCATTATCGCAAAGAGATAAGTTTCATATCTTATGCGGATATATTATTGACAAAGCACTTGTATTTATCAGATTTCACAAAAAGATTTGATTCAATTAAATAAAGGTACTTTTTTATCATACATCTATATATAACGTAGTAGCCTATATAACAAAAAATGATAAATAAATAAATCAATACATCGAAATATGGAACTCGACAAAATTCTTGAACAGAAACCTCAATGTCAACAGAAACCTACATACCAAGCTTTAAGCTTCTTGGTCTTTTCCTTTAAGAAAATAAAAAACATAAGGCTACATGAAAAAAGAACAAAATCAATTGACAATAAATTTAAAACGGTTTTTCTAATACCAAGATGGACATAAGTAGCAATTTTCAAGACTGGGATTTTATTTTACTTATAAAAAAATAAAATAAATGAAAATATCTTTCTTATGTCAAGAGAAACATCTATACTAATTTAAAAACTCTAGAAAGGACCGATGAAAAAACAACAAATAATTTTGTAATAATATACAAATCTGAAAAATACTCAATATAAACAATATAATAACACAAAACTATAACTGCTACATTACATATAGCCTTCAAAATAAAATCAAAAGTCAAGATATCAGATAAGATTGAAAAACATAATACATTTGAATACATAATAATACATTTTTGAAATACGCAATATTACGAAAAATAAATCAATCTAAATGTATCTAAAGGACTTTGAAACAGCTAAATTAACTTGAAATAGAAACACAGATTATTGTATCGGTATATTTATTTGTTGCTAGTTTATCTGTGATGTGATGGACATACAAGTTAGCAAGACACCAGTGAAAAAGATCAGTAGCAGTCCTAAAATGTTTTAATCTGTTAAAACCTCAACCATCTGTAAAAAGTGAATTAACAATTGAACTTCTGTATAAAATTATTATTTCTTTGGATTGAAAATATTTGATTTCACGTTTACGACTTCAGAACAGTCGCTCTGAAGAGTCCTTTTATTTTATCCCTAGGTGGGGAATCTGCAAACAGACGTTGGAAGTAAAAATTTCCGACAGGGCTGTGATTTTCAGTTAGAACATAACTTCTCCCCGATGTCCTTGTTTTGCCCGCTTCTCAGTCGCTCGTCATCACACAGCCGGTGAATACCCATAATGCAGCAACCGACACAGTCCTGCAAGCACTGACCACCGCACCAGACCAGTACTTAACGTACCTCTTAGGAGTGATCGTCATACCCGCACAATCAAATCCAATTCTATCTATCTTTTTCTCAGGTCTTTAAGGACTAGTCCTAAGGATTCTGTCGTCTTCGCTTCGAGACTCACTCTACCAACCAAAACACCCTCACTATTGCATCTACCGTACTCTTACTTTTGCAAAATCCATTCTGCTTTGGGGATAATCCCTCAGACCTTTCTATCACCTCTTCGATTCTTTCACGTAACATCCTCTCATTAAACTTGCTGATGGTCAAAAGACGACAAATAGGCCAAAACTTTTCAGCCCCTGTAGGTAGAAGCACAAGCTTCGAGATTTTCTACGGCTCCGAAAACATCTGCGAGTCAAGCAGAGCGTTTATGTAACCCAAAAGCCATGCAGGCTTCAGTCGTTTCAGACATTTAACCGTCTTTTAAGGTTAGCCTTGCACAACTTAAGGACTCCACGTCCACGCAAATTCTTTTTGAGAGAAGGGCATACCTCGCTCTGCATTGCCATGCCAAGCCCCTGGCACGAATAATTTCCAGGAGGGTCCAGCGGCATGTCATACGGACAATACACTTTGAGATACTTCATTACACTTTTATAACCCTCTCACGAGAGCTGCTCTTGCTACAGATCTCTCAGTCGATCATCCTTCAGATCCTTCTTCCGAGCTGTGGACTCTCTTCTCTCTCACTCACTGTTTCTCCTTGTATTCGACTCCTCGCCCTTGTTGCTTGTCTGCGCAGGGTTATGCACTCTCTTCTCAGTCCTTCCATCTCATCATTCCACCAGTAAGGCATCCTGCTGGCATGCACATTGTTCGTCCTACTGTAATCCACGCGACTTTCATGACTCGTTCGAGACCTTCCACGGTAGGTGGTTGGTCCCGGACTATGAACTGTTCTGAAAGGATAAAATATCTATAAGCGAATAGTGGAGACACTATACTAAATCAAATCTTAACTGTCTTTTCTATCTTTATTTACTCGGTTTGAGTACAAGAAACCAGTTCACGCAAGGTTATTGCCTAGATGAATATATGTGTCGTGGAAAGCAATTCCCCATCTTGGTCCATTCATCATGTGTTTTGCTTTGAAAATTGTAGAAGGTATAGATTTTGACATAATCTGAAGTTTTTTAATAATTTTAGACCGGATCCCTCGAAGGTCAACTCGCTATCCACAAAAATCAACGTGTTCCTCTTAGTGAACAAGAATTGGTAGACTGTGATACAGTAAACGCTGGTTGTAACGGAGGTTTGATGACAGATGCCTTTAACTACGTTAAACGTCATGGTCTCTCTTCCGAAACTCAATACCAATACACCGCCAGAGATGGTAGCTGCAAGAATGTACAGAACAAACAACTCTCTTCCATCAGTGGTTACGTAGAACTTTCTGAAACTGAAAGTGCACTCGCTTCCGCTCTTGGTAAGTTAATCGATTTTTAAAATGAAAACTTTAACAAATTTTAAATATGTTTTCTCTATTTCAAGTTGAACTTTAACTTTTACCATTTAACTTTGACGTTTGTTAATTTCTCTTCTGCTGTGACAAGACACGTCTGTTAGTTCGATAATTAATAGTTTTACATATCTGCAGTTTTATTTATTAATTTTTTATTGTCAAATATATAACTGTTGTATGTTCTTAAAAATTTAAACCTTTGTTCACACTATAATACTTCTTGTATCAATTTAAAATTTTACAATTTAAGACGTATTTGGAGAACATTATGATTTTGATAATTTTGATAGCTAATAAACTGGTACTAATTTAATTCTCACAAGTAGTATAAATGCTCATCTTAAGTTTGTTTTCAGCTAGCGTAGGTCCAGTTTCCATCGCTGTCGATGCTGATACATGGCAATTCTATGGAGGTGGAGTTTTCAACAACAGAAATTGTGGAACCTCCCTCAACCACGGTGTTCTTGCTGTTGGATACACCAAGGAAGTATTCATCGTTAAGAACTCATGGGGAACCAGCTGGGGTGAACAAGGTTACATCAGAATTAGCCGTGGTCACAACTTGTGTGGTCTTAACCTCATGAACTCTTACCCCAAATTGTAAATGATGAAGTAATAAAATTCAATAATAAAGATACACGATAAACTAATAGTTTTAAATTATTTTACACAGCGGTGCAATAGTCTGGCTAATTGGCTATGCCAAAGCCATTATACAATAAATAAAAATAATTGTATACTTGACTAAATATTCTAGAATGTATCATACGCAAACTATAGGGACTAAAACTTAAAAAGTCATGATGAGTGGGGATTAGATAAAATATATGTCTAAAGGATGAAAAAAATCTATCATTATTTTAAGTGTTTTGGGCAAAGAAGTTTTAGATTTCAATATTTGATTTCATTAAAAATCTAATAAAACTACAATGTATTTCACATAACCATTGTATACCATTACTAAAATCATACCATTGTGAACAAACGCAAACAAATGACTTTGAAAAGATTAGATCCAGTTCTAAAAAAAACTGTGAAAACTAGTAAGGATATTTAAAAATGTAAGACATTTCTGGTATAGTAAAGAGATCCTTATGGATATGATAAAAAACAATTAACAAAGTCTATCAAAGCAATAAGATGTAACTCATAATAGACAGACATATTACGGAATCTATAGTATAGATACTAGCGATGGTCTAAGACAGTCGAATTTACTAAGCCATTCTTCTTCTTCACGTATCATATTTATTGTCCTGCATTTAATATCTAAGTTTTTTAACCAAGAAAACTGTTTTCTTTCTACACCTCTACAGCCTTTTACTTTGCCTTTAATGATCAATTGTAGTACTCTCTACCCATATCTTCTTACTGTATGTCCCAGATACGATATTTTCCGGTGTTTTACAGTATTTAGCAATTCTCTATCGTTGTTGACCCTCCTTAGTAATTCCTCACTGGTTTTTCTAGCTGTCCCACAGCGGCGGCTCGTGCCTAAAAAAGTGGTGAAGACGGAGGAAACCTTGCTGGAGCCAAAAGAAGTTGTGGTACCTACGTCGCGCCAAATCTCGTTAAAATTCGTTAAAAAAATGTAGAGTTTAGGGCTCTAATAACTTGAAATACAGTTTTTTAGGGCACTTATACTAGATACGATTCGTTTTGATGGCCTGGAGTATTTTAATTCTGAACCTTCGACATTTCATTGAGGGTTTTTCGTTTTTTTTTATAAATCAAGTCGACCCTTCGGTCTTTTAAGGAGGCAAATCTATCAATAATATCCTCGTAGACAAGACGCTTCTGCATAAGTTAATTCAACAGTTCTTTATGAAGTGCGATAACAGTCAAACTGGATAGTTTATCTTGTGAATTGGTGTTTCTTGTAAAAGTTTTTAACCTTTTTAAGCACGAAAAACTTCTTTCTACGGATACGCTTGTCGATGGAATTGTTAGAATTAAACAAAACAAATTATAGGCTTCTGCAACAATGTCTTTAATTGGTTGTAACTTTATAACTAATTCTTGCAAATTCACATTTTTGTAATTTTCGTCGGCATAAAGAACGCAGAGCTCACTTTTAAGTCTTTGATGTTTAGTAAATTGTGTGCCATAAACTCAAATAAATTTTGAAAACCGTCGGAAGGAAAGGTCAAACTGTGTGAGTCAAATTTTGTTGTATCTGTTGTATTAGCTGCGCGTTTTCAGCAGACCGTGCTGGTACACTTTTAATTTGTTCGGTGAGAAGTCAGCATGTACTGCAAGTATTGGAGGAAGGTGACTTAAAACCTATGTTAAACTCGTTTATAAAATCCTCCTAAACATGCTGCATTTCACTTTTAACTCCTCTCACATTTATCATATTTTAAATAGTTTACTTATAACTCACTAATTTTTTTTTTTGTGTGTTTTGGCTAGACAATTGTCATTCAGCCAGTCTCAATCAAGGTAAGTTTATTAATGTAGTGTGTGTGTGTGTGCGTGCGTGTGTGTGTGTGTGTGTGTGTGTGTGTGTGTGTGTGTGTGTGTGTTTGTGTGTGTAGAGTAATTGTCTTGATACTTAGCAAAGTCGACGTCCTTGTCTTTGCCAAGAGACGCTAATGGTATCCGAACATCTGCGGTCCCTCTGGTGAGTACCGATCACACAAGGATAGAAATTATTTTCATTTATTAATTTTTTTTAATAAACGAAAAATTTCCACCCAGGTGGGATTCGAACTCACGACCTTTTAGATTTAAAGGCAGGTGCTCTTACCACTGAGCCACAGAGGGGTTATAACTCACTACTTAGATACAATCTTTGGATTTATTTCTGTTGTGATGTAATTCAGTTTCTCTGAGCTTTTTTATGTACTCTTTAATTTTTCTTCAACACCTATATTTCTCTCAACACCAATTAAAGTACAAAAACATTTTAAACATACAGAAGTTTTAACACCAGAGACAGTTGGAAAGAAGTATTGTATTATATTACTTTTGCTCAGGGTCCAGGTTTTTTATTTTCGTTTCTGTTTACCGGTCTAGGTCTTTTGATTTGTGTTGTATGAATCAGACTGGCAATTATATTGTCTTCTCTTCTCTTTGTCCCTTGATTTCGTTCACCAACACTTACACTTACATCTGCACCATCAATTATTAGTAGTAAATCCCTAGGACATTGATAACAGACGAGACAATTTCATGACAATCGAAAGCTCGTTCCTTGAGCTTGAGAAATTTGTCATGAAATTATGAGGCATTCATCAATGTCCGGGGATATTCGGCGGATAATTTTTCGAAAAAAAAAATCATAACTCAACATAACAAAACATTTATTTATTAAAAGTACAATTAGTGAAAGTACAATTATTAAAATTTAAGTTAACATTAGATTCGTTGCTGTTCTCTACTATTAGAAGATCTATTACCATGCATAATATTTATAATTCTTGTGACATTTTGAAATTTATTTGGATGAAGTTGTCAAACTCGATCGTGTTGTCATAGGGTTTGAAAATTGCACTGAATGCAATTATCAGTCTAATGTTGACATGATTGGATGAAATTGTTCCACACGACACAAAATGGACGAAATTTGAATGGTTGTTAGAACAGTCGAAAAATTATCCTTTAAATAAAAACGTAATTATTAACTGTCTCTAAATACGTTGACAATCTAAATAGTAGTCAATAAGCTTTTAATAAAAAACTCATTTACATAGCCTCAAATTTGCAAGACTCACTGGGTCAGCTAAGTAGCAGTTACAGCACTTTTATTGGTTGATTTGAAATAAGTCGGTTTGTGTGGACCAGTACAGTGGAAATAAGTTGTTTTGTCAGTAGAAATTTGTCTACTGGAATATCTTGGGGGATGAGATATCTTGGGATACGCTAAATAAAGAATTGACACTTCGGGCACTATTGCCTGAATAAAACATTTTTATTATTGCTACTTTCTCCTCGACTGAGTACCCATTATAATCAACTCGCATTTTTTTTTAAACAATAAATCACAAAATAAACATTTTGGCAATTCAAATATTGTCAAATATCAGAAACATCAATATGACCAAACGCAACCCGTCATACACATTCTTGTACTGTATATGTCCTGACTTATAGGGGTGGCCTGAAAAATGTAATATATTTTTGCTAAATTTTGGCATTTAATTCGTAGAACAATTTTAATATTTGTTTTCGATACAGATTTCAGTCCTCTACAAATAGTTATTCACTAGCTGAGGCAACTTGACATCGAGTTTTTTAATGAAATTTTTATTTTGCGAGAAAAATTAAGAGATAATACAAACGATATAAGCAAGAATATACATAACATTCATCAATAATAATGCAAGTAAAAAGTGTATTAAATATCACGAAATATTTATACTAACGTTGAATTCTCTATTGATTTGACTAATAAAAACGAAACCGGAGGTCGACCTCAAAACCGGAATGCAATTTTTAGTTCATCAAATGTCGACATGGATATCATTTAGCAAGTAATTTTGCATGCTGATCACGAATCCGGTGTCAGATTTGCTCTATCTTGACGTTTTATGCGCGTTTCGTTTCACTTCCGGTGTCGGATTGCAACTGGAAGTACATATTTAGATTCGTCTCGACGAGACCTTTCGATCCATATATACATTGTGCGGTCTAAAACTTAAAGTAAATTTTAACTTCCGGTCATCTCAAGACCGGAAGTGAATTTTTATACTAAAATTATATCTTGACAATCTCATACGTAATACTAATAATATTCCGAAAAAATATTTAGTTTATCTAATATTGTTTTTGAGTAAAGTGGTGGACAAGAAAAGGTCTTAGCGTTTTAGTATATAAGATGACTTTTGGTGTAAAATAATTAGGGAAGCAGGAATTCAACAATTTAGAATTTCTCATTGAGTTTTCTATTAGTCCTTTTAATTATTTTTAATTTCCTATTATTCCTTTTAGTTTTACAAGCTTTCGAACTTTTTAACATAGATAATAATGATAATACAGTTGCATACCTCTATTTACAATATTTTAATAAAAACTAATTCTATGGGTTTTAAGCCGATTAATTAATATATATTTATTAATTAAATATTATGGTGTGTTTTTAGTTAATTGATTATTCATCATCATTATCAGTGCTACTACAACCCTAATTGGTCATCGACATAATTAATTAATTAATACATTTATTAGTAAAATTATATTTATTAGTGAAATAGCATTACCAAATATTATAATTCTAGGAAAGGAATTATATATATATATATATATATATATATATATATATACATATATATATATATATATATATATTATATATATATATATATATATATATAATATGTATGGGAATATAGTAGTCACAGTAAGCTTAGTATGGATCATTGCTTAAAAAGGGCTATAAGATAATAATAATATTAGTTAATTATGAACGTTTGGTTTTATCATATTGCTTATTATCTTGCTTATCATCTAGTTAACGTCTAAATGAAATTTTATCTATAGATGACTTTTTTTTTCCTGTAGTGATTTTAAAAACGCAAGCAAGCAAGCAATTTAATTGAACCCAGCCTATGAGAAATGTTCACCCAGGTAGTACGATCGGGTGTAACAATTCATTGGAGCAAG